CAGAGGCGGCTGTGACCAGGCTACTGTTCATACAACACGGGTGGACTGCAGGCCTGTATGTGATCTGTACCCAGGGGCAGAGCACGCTTATTTAATCCATTTAAAGAGTCAAGGGAAAGAAGGTAGCGCAGGCCCTGAGGAACAGGACACTCAGCTGGCTTGTGGTCAGAGAGCATGTTTATTGTCTCTGTGTCCGGACCTGTTTGTCCTTTCAAAGTCCTTTAAAGCAACAGATTAAATGTTTAAAAACTTCATGGAAGACAAGGAGACATGTATATCTATCTATTTGGGATTTTTAAAAGGTGCACACTGTGTGTAGGTTTCCATGAATCCATTTTCTTACTCCTTTATCAATTTCAGGGTCGTGGGGGAGACAGAGCCTATCCCAGCAGCCCTGTGGCCCTGCAGCTCCCAGCTGGCAGCCCGCTGGAGCCCAGCAGTGTGAGCCTGGCCAGTACCTGGAGGGGAGACTCCTGGGAGAGCTGAGGCTGCTGCTGGAAGAGGTGTTAGTGGGGCCAGTAGGGGGCGCTCACCCTGCGGTGGGTCCTAATGCCCCAGTATAGTGACGGGGACACTATACTGTAAAAAGGAGCTGTCCTTCGGATGAGACATAAAACTGAGGTCCTGACTCTCTGTGGTCCTTAAAAATCTCCCATTGGCCCTTCCAGTCATGGCCTCCTAATAACCCCATCTCTGAACTGGCTTCATCACGCTTCCCCACTGAGAGCTGGTGTGTGGGGAGCAGACTGGCGCATCATCCAGGTGGGGCTGCAGGGGATCCCCATTACCTGTAAAGCGCTTTGAGTGGAGTGTCCAGAAAAGCGCTATAGAAGCGTAAGGAGATTTATTATTAATTATCCCAGCAGGCAGTGGGCGCCAGGCAGGACACACCCTGGACAATATGCCAGTCCATCAAAGGACAGACACACTCACACCAGGGGGAATTTTACCAGAAGCCAATTGACCAGCGTGTCTGTGGGCGGTGGGAGGGAACTGGAGCACCCAGGGGAAACCCACGTGAACACGGGGAGAACACACAAACATGCTTAATACACGCCGACGCGTCCATTTTGTTTCTTCAGGACAAACAAGAACAAATGCTTTTATAGTAATGGCCCATGATGCACAACCTCCAAGCTAATGTTGACATATGTTTTCACAGAATATGATTTTATTACAGACGTGTACTGCGATGGTATGGCGTCCTGTCAGGGTTGTACACAAACTTGCGCCCAGTGCTTGCTGGGATAGGCTCCGGCTCCCTTGCTCCCAACCCCAAATCAGAAGAAGCGATTAGAAAATGGATGAATGGAAAGAATCAAATACTCTTGATCAGCGTTGTTCATGTCCTGCTGCACTGGAGAAAAGTAAAATAATCACAAGAAATTCAGGGAATCGAATGGGTTTGACCACACCGGTCACTCCAACGCCAACAGATGCCAGAGGAAGTAACTGCATGTGTGAGCATGTACAGTATCCTCTGAGCTGGGAGCAGAGCAGCCAGCCACAACAACAGCCCTGCACGTGTCTGTGCAGAGGGACACTCGGATAAAAACAGGACTTACCGTACAGGGGGGTCCAAAAGCCAGCGGACCCCCCCCGCCCACTCAGCCTTTCAGCAGTCAACAATAACAACCCCGGCCATTCGGAGGGGTCAAGCTCTGTGACAACGTGCACTCAGGATCATTAAACCTGTTTTCAGGAGCCGTGCAGCGCGATTACTGTCAGGTAATATTTACAAGGGCGGTCATGGTTTATACAAAAACAGGACAAGGTCTTTGTTTTTCTCCCCTGCTGTCTTGAGGAGGTTTTACTGTCTGCTTACGTAACGCGGAGCCTAACAGCCAGAACACTGAACACGCGTCTGTGTGCATCAAGCCTAACGACAGGGTTTAGTACATCTTATCAGCTGAAATCCAGAACATTCAGACAATTCATACTTGCCTGGCAAAACCGAGCTGTAAACCCGCACATACTGTAAAAGTACAAAAACAACACAAGGCAGAGGGTTATGCAAGCTATTGAGAAAACCTTTTTTTCTGATCTCAAGCTGGTATTCAAGATTCAAGGTGATTTTTCAGTCCCCCAGAAATGCCCCAGTAAGATGAAAAAGCTCATCTGTGAAACGTTTCAGATAAGAATGTATAAGAACAAAAATCTTATACATTGAAACAAACAATACAGCTTTCTAGACCTTTATTGATTTGTTTTTGCGACAGTACTTGAGATGCAATGTGGACCACTCAATACTAGTATCCTAGGAGTGCTGAAGCCTTTTACTTTAAATTCCCTTTAAAGTTGCCATCAAGATCAGCTTCACAGAGGGAGAGAATAACGACACTCTGGCTAGCGTTCCGGCATTCTGGAATAAGGGCAAACAACAACTTCGGGTAAGAAATGCAAAAACTACAAATTCAAAACAGAATCTGTTTTATACTGTAGGGAACCCGAGTTTGTCTTTAGAAAAGGGAAGAGTTCAAAACATGCAATGAAGAACATGAAGACCGCTCGTTTTGGTATCAGCTGCCATCAGATTGGATTGCAGCAGTACTGGCCGATCTGGAGCTCCTTAAAAGCCCACTGCTACAATCACACGCCGAGCGAGTCGCCCTCAGTCTCTCGCACCCTGCTGCTACTGCCATGACCTGCCGTGCCCGGCACCCAGCAACTGAACAGGAGCAAAGACACAGCTGGGACTCGGGGCTCTGGGCAGTAATCCTTACACGTCAAAGTCCTGCTTCTTTGCTTCTTACTTTACAGAAGCAAATTCCTTACAAGGGGAGTGTTTCCAAAACACCTGCGAAATTGTACGCTTTTAAGACCTTTTCTCAGAACTGTGGCTAGTTAACCTCTTTAGAACTCTTACAAATGTTGTCTATGAAAATAACTGTATCCTGTTTCTCCTGGCTCTTGTTGATGAAAAAGACAATCGAAAACGGGAGGTTACGTGCCCACATTCTTCCGTGCCCAGCGAGGATGGGTTTTTCCTGAATGAAGCTGGAGAAATCAGGGCACTGCTGGTGCACATTCTTTCTTGCTTGGTTGGCATGACTTTCCTGTAAATACATAACAGGAGTCTGTACAGTCCTGGAGCCAGAACTGTCACACCACTGCACAGGCAAGGTGGACTGCTGACGGTGCACGACCGCTGCACATCGTGCGCCAAGTGTGAAACAGCAAATGACACCAAGTTGCTCAATGTTTGGAAGGTTGCAAAAGCAAGACTAGCTTCCATTGCACAAGTGTGTATCAAAACCCGTCTCCCCTGCTTGTTAAATCTAGGATAAAGCCAGGTTTTATAACCTGCGTTTCCATACCAGTGCTGGTCCCACATGCAGCGCGCCTGGGTAACAGGACGGGCAGGAAGGAGGGGCAGTTTCTACAGGCCTGAGCCCCTCGTACCCCCGATGCGGTGAGCTGTACTCCTTGCCCATATACACAACCATGAGAAGGATGCTGTGTGCTGGTTTCATACTTTCCATGTCAGAACATCCCTGCATCCCTATGACACATTCAGACTACATGTGAGCCAGTGGCCCAAGTCCCCTGTTAAGGGGCCCAGCAGGACGACCCCAGGTAGACCCGTCCTGGGTGGGTTTCGGTGCTCAACCCCTGTGGGAAAGGCAAAGGGTCTCGAACCACAGCCCTTCTAGTGCCTTCTCTCCTCTCCCTTGTCTACGTCCAGCGCAGTGCTCTGCACCTCTCTGGTCAGGGAAGAGCCGGGTCCTGAGGGCAGAGCTGACTCCGCTAGAACGCAGTTCAAAGCCACTCCCACACTCGCATACTAATGACGGTCTGGGCTCACGACTCCTCTAAACCCCGAGACGCAGCCTCTTAAGGGCTGGGGTTTCCAACCGAACGTGGACCGCACTCCAGAAAACCAAAGCCCGCTGTTTAAACCTCGTCTTAATTCTTTGCATTCACACAGCCGGCTCCACGCCGAGGGACCCCCATGCTCTTCACAGACAGGAACGGGAACCACTTCGTGCCCGCAACTGCATCTGCGGCAGCCGCCCCACTGCGCCCCACTGCGCCCCACTGCGCCCCACTGCGCCCCACTGCGCCCCACTGCGCCCCACTGCGCCCCACTGCGCCCCACTGACTGAATTGCAGGGGAATTTAGGGAGGACAGGAGATACAGGCCCAGAATGGAGTTTATCCACGACACTAAGGTTAACGCCTCTACTTTTATGAGAGTACCATGGACCTTTAACGACTGTGTGAAGCCTGTACCTCCATTCAAAAGCACATCTAAAAGAGCTTTCGAAATTAAGCTCCTGTGGTAAAGGGCCGCTGTGCTCGGACACATTTTCACCCGCGGTCCAGCTCCTGTCTCTCTCCCAGACACGAGACAACGGGCTGCATGGGCTCAGTCTGCAGAGCACAAGGCGGAGGAAGGTGATGCGGAAAACATCCCTTGAACAGGAAGCACTCCGAGACGGAGGATTACAGTACAGTAATTACCGACTGCTCCCCACCATTTTGACGCAGACAGCCTTAGATTCAGGATTAGATATCCCATCTACTTGCTTGAGTAAGCTTTCTCTGCAGTGCACACATCAGGCAGGCCTCCTCTGACTCTTCCATCACTCACAGACGTGAACTCCCTAATAATGGCACTAGAGGCAAGCCTGGAAGCGAAGTTTCTGTTGCTTATGCTGCAGTTACAGAAGCCCAACCCCTTCCCAGAGGAAGCTAGAGGAAGTACTGATGGGTGATCACCTGCAGTTCACAATGTCACACATTTCAGTAGGTTTAGCTAGTCGTGTGCTGAAAGGCATCAGCCTTACCACACTAGGGATCATGTCTGGAGCCCCACGATCAGACAGCGCTTACAGGCTTAAACCCAGACTGCACTTCAGGCCAGTGCCGAAATCACAGCGGTCCAATACTGAAATCACTGTCGTCTGGAGGGAGAACAGCCGCCAGTCCTGAGGCCCAGCGGAGCGTGGGCACCGCGCGGGGTGACCTGCCGTGGGCTGCGTGGGTGGCGGGGGTACCTGTTTGAGATCTTCTGGGGGCGCCACCACGATGATCATCGTCGTCTTCTCGGTCCTGACGCTCTCCTCTTTCCCCTGCCTGGCTCCCGGAGCTCCAGCTTTCCTCTCGGCATCCCGCTCCTCTCCCTGAGCCCTCGCCGGCGCAAACCAGCGGGACAGGCACTCCCACAGCCCCTGCGCCATCCCTGCCCCCGAGAACCGCGGAACCCGAGTCTGACAGCAGCCTGAGCTGAACACCCCCGCCGACAGGCTACACCGCCGCGTCCGCCAGGACACAGCCTGCGGGCATCACGGCCGACGCTTCCAGAAAATCCCCCTACGCCTCACTATCCTGCGCTACCCCTGGCGAGAGAGCCCCCCTCTCAGACACGAGGAGCTGCGCGCCGGGGGACATCAACCCCACCGAACACTTCTGCTCAGCTGCCCTAGACTGCAACGAAAGTCTAATCCGCCGGCAAGAGTCCGAACTTTGGCTTCCCTTCAAGCCGCTTGCGCCGGTCCAGCGCGGCCGTCTGGCTGTCTGGCTGATTTACCTATGCCTTTAAAATTAAGAAGCAGCGTTCACAGATCTGGACAGAGACTGACTTTTTATCCTCCTCTTCCTCCTCCTCCTCCTCTTCCCAGGGCGGCAGGAGCTGTGAAGACGAGAGCTGGGGAAACCTGCCCCAGCGCAGAAGGGACTGATGCGGTACAAACCGGCTCCCAGCCCTCCTCAGACCTGCATCCTCACTGCAGCTGTGCTGCAGCCAATCCACGGGCCTCACACTGGCAGGTCCGCTGGAAGAGGCTGAGTGCCCACAGCCAATCGAAAAGGGCCTGAGTGCTGATGGATTTCTTGCCATCAATAGAGAGGAACTTGCCACCCCCCTCCACCCCCTCCCCTCGTCTCTCTCTCAGGCACGCTCACCCCCCCCACCTCTTCTCGGGGAAAATCTGCTGACAGTGTCCCCCCTCCCCTTCTTCCAGCCACCCCGGCAGCCTGACGGCGTCACCACGGCAACACCCCCCCCTCTGCAGAGGGGGAGAGGGCAGGCAGGCAGGCAGGCAGGCAAGAGGGGTCTTTTCATCCGGAGCCCCCTCCTACGCTCCCTTCCACACGGAAGAGCAGCCCGTCCAGCTGGGGCCTGCGGTGCCTCCTGAGTCCCTGTGCTGCGTTTCGGAAGCTCTGGAAGTACCCTGGCGCTGAGCAGGGAGAGCGGCCCGTACTGCTGGACGGCACTCAACCGCGAGGAGGGAATGTGGCCCATGGTGCTCCAGTGCCAAACGAAATGAAACCAGAACTGGGTCCAGTTTCCTGCCTCTCCCCACTCGCTTTCCACCGCTGTGCAGGGCATCCCTGCGTGTTGAAGCAGCCCTCGGAAGCACAAGAAGCTGAGGAAGCTTCCGACGCACAGGCGTCTGGTAAGAGCCCAGCTGCAGGGCAGGAGGAGGCTCGCGACTCTGAGGAATGAGCGAATTTGACTTTTCCACTTAAGTGACAAGAAGTGCAAATGATTAAATAAAGCAGCAGCCAGGCTGGACTTTAGTGGGGTCACTGCAATAGCATGTCAAGCCCACACACACACGAGAGCTTTCAGAATCCACCTCCTGGCTGAATACGAGACCTGACGGTGCTTCTCAATGAAATGGAAGGACAAGTGACCAGTGAGGGGGAGCCCCCTGCTGGGAGGATCAGAAACTGTAGCACTTCCATTTGAATTGCTTTTACAGAACCTGTAGTCTTTTCCCTCGAGCTCTGCGACATCCAAGAAACGTGCTTACTGCGAATACCGACGCGAGGACAACCCACTACAGTGTATACATTTCCCAAGTGCAACAGGCCAGTTGTTCCTTATCGTGCGTCTGTGTGAGCGTGAGACAGTGCACACAGTGCGTAGCTGTCGTGCCGCTCGGAGAATCCCGTCACGTGTGCCACTGCGAGGCGGCAAGTCCAGGGCGACTAACTGAGCCGGTGCTGGTGTGAGCTCATGGGAAAACAGCCGCCTTCCCGGGCACACGCTCACGCGCACACTGCTCCTGTGAGACGGGTACAGTCCCAGGGGCTACAGCGCTGCAGCACGACTCGTGACCGCCCTGCTGGAGAAGGGTGCCGGGCTCCTGCTCATGCCTGGATGACACGCAGCATCCTCTGTGGTTTGAGCGCGATGCCTGACGGTCACACCCCTCCTCTGAGCAGCGTGAATGCTCAGAGAGTGAGTCTGCTGCCTTACCAGCAATAACAGGAAGTGGTCTGACTTTTATTTAATCCAGCCTAGACAAACAAAGGGACCCAATCTCATTATTTTAAACCCAATCCTCTCCACACTCTGTTTCTTAGTGGCTGTGATAGTGTCATTTCACGGAAAGCCTTCCTATTTTTCAGTGTGAAACTAATCTTCCACAAATCTTTACTGGTTCCCATCGTCTTCCTCACTGTTGAGCTTCCAAAGCCTGAAAAAAAAAATCAGGTCTCTGGAAAGAGTTTCACAGCCACCTCCTGAGAGATTCCGAGACGCTCCCGCAGCTGGAAGTGCCCCTGAAGAGGACTGGGCCTCCGCTCGCCCCGGCCTTCCCTGGAAACACCGCTGAGCCCCAGATAAGCGCAAGCCGCCTGCCGCAGCCGGTGATAAGCAGAGCTCTGGAACGAGAGCTCCATCGGTCTGCTCCTCCCCGAGAGAGGCTGTGTGACAGCTTAGGCTCCTCAAACACTCGTGAAAATCTTCACCACCGCTGGGCCTGGGCACTGACAGGAGCCCACTTATTCAAGGCCCTCTTCCCCCGCAGCGCAGTAGAAACCAGGGGTCTCATACTTCAGTCCTGGAGGGCTAAGTGTCTCCTGGGTTTTATTCCAGCCTTAACAGTCAATTACTGTACACACGGAGGACATCACTGTTTAACTGAGGATACCAGGGAGTCACCTACCCCGAGCGCACTCAAATCCCGACTCAAAACCTTCTTCTTCAGGAATTGATGTAATAATGATGATGCTTCTACATTTGTAGTCCCCTGTGTTTCTTTGTGCTGATTTTATCTCCTATTGTTGCCACCATTTTCATTTGTTTTAACTATTTTTTTGTACTTTTCCTGTAAAGCACTTTGATAACATAATTTTAAAGGCTCTATATAAATACAGTTTATTGACGTTATTAGGAGGAACATAATTATTATCTGGATATAGAACTGTATTTTTTCCCCTCTCTCACACAACAAATCAAATCACTGAATATTCCAAAATGGCTTTCAAGGCAAATGTTCCACCATGATGCATCTTGAAAGGTTTCTATGCAGAAATCAAGCATAGAGCAGCACTAATGTCACTTCACTGCCGTGTCCACTCCTCATCCAGGAAGTCCCGGTCAGAAATGGACAGGCCGTGGCTGTGACAGAGCAGGGCTTGCTGGTGTTTTTCCATCAGCGACGAAAAGTAACAGCAACCCAACCAAAACCCCCCACACACCCCGGGTCACACCTCCGTGCGAATTCCCCTGCGGGCCGTTCTTCACCTCCAGCTGCTCCGAGGACACACTGCTCCCCTCCCCCATGAAAACAGAAACCCTCCCCGTCGCCCAAGACTGGGAAAGATATCAGGCTTGAGTCAGCGGCCGACAGAAATGAGGAAAGCACAAAGAACTCAAATGATAGTTTTGAGGCCTGTTGGCTCAAACCTGTAATCCCCAATTTGAAATTTGAAGAGAAGGTAAACACGCCGCTGTTCTGTACCAAGAAATCTCCCTTCCTAGTTTTCGCAAGCTGAGTAGGAACAAGGATTCCAGGAAAACTCGGATAAGCCCTAGTGATTTTCCCACAATTATGTCTGCAGTTTCTCTGGCAAGGAGGGCTGTGTTTTTTTTCCCCAGTAGCGTTCCAGCCCTGCCTGGAAGTCCTGCTCAGCACACGTGCGTCTCTGCCACGCTGGCCTCCTGCAGTCGTGCTCAGGAAGCTCGCAGGAGGAACAGCCAGTTTGTAATAACAGTGCGCACTGCCACCCACTGCTGTGCAACACCACGCTAATAGCACCCTATAAAACACTTCACACCCTGGATGGACGCTTATGCCTCTCTCAGTGTTATCAGTGTTGCACTGTCACAGCGGGGACACAAGGCTCTTTTAGGGGTGCAGTTTAACCCTGACCCCCTCATTCTCTAGCTCATCACGTGCAGAACACTGAATGTGCGGTTTTATCTGTCTTGAGCCAAAAACAGCTTCAGTTTAAAGGTGTTCATGGAGCTAGAATGACGCACTGCATTTTTCTCTAGAACGAGCTTCTAGGGAGATCAGACCTGGAATCAGCCTGGAGCATTTCACTGCCGGGACGCAGTCTCTGAACTTCTTTAAAGGGGAGCTGCAGCCCCAACTTCTCAGACCGGTTATTAAAATGTCGGCAACAAACTAAATTCATATACAGAATATGGCTCTGGGCATACCTGGAAATGTAGCCTATCTTGTGATGTAAATTGGAGGGGTTTTTTTTTGCTGTGTACATTTTACTTTTATTACGATTTGAAATGCACTCATCGATTCTGATTATTTCTAATCCCAAAATACGAAAACAGCATCGCATTTCCCCTTTAAATAAAGCACACTGCATTGAACCGATGCAAGACGTATCCGTACGTGATGCTGTATTTCAACAGCCCACGACTGACCCGAGAAAATCCAGCCCAGAACATTTGCAAACGTTCCCAACGTCACCACACCTGATTTGCATCGCAAATCAAAACGCCCTGTTTCACTCCGAGGTTTGTTGACAAAGAAAGCCACAGCAAACCTCAACTCATCTCGCTTACACTAATCCTCAAGAAAACAATGAACTGATAGGAGAGGAGGGGAGGGGTGAGTGTTCTCCTCGTCTGGGTTAGAAGATCTGAATGTAAGACTACTGTGAACAATCGCTAAACAGGCTCCACTGTGTATTGCTCAGGAGCGTTAAACAACTTCTCAAAGACAGAGTCGATACTTCCAGGGAGCACACCCGGCCCGTTATTCACAGGGGGCAGCCGGTCAGACTTAAACCCAGACGGTCAACGGCACAAACAAAGCTTGAACTGAGTTTTATTCTCCTTTCCTTCCAATGGCACAAGTATGGATCGCTTGTCCGTTTTCTAGCTGCTGCATCCAATCCAGGGCAAGCCGAGTGCCAGGACGGGATGCCAACTAACCTGGCAGCATGTTTCTGGACTGTGGGAGGAAACGCGCTTGAACCAGGGGAGAACATACAGACTCCACACAGACAGCACCCCAGGGCCAGAACCGAAACCTGGGCCCCGGCGCTGCGAGGCGGAAACGCTAACCCCTGTGCCCCCCGTTTGACAGGATCTCCTGTCAAACAGACAAAGGTTTGCTAACCCAGCAGACTTTCCCAGTGGAATCGGATTTCTGGTCTAAATTCTTGAGAGGCCTTGACACCCCTAATTAAAAAGAAAGCACAAAAGCATAATTCCACGAAAAAAAATGATACTGTAATTGTCATTGTCATGTAAATCCCCTGCTCCAGCCAGTTTTCGAGAAGCCTGTAATTGTGAGTGTGACTGCATTAAGCCCAGTGAATCACAAGACTCATCCGCACCCAACCTCGCTCCCTGCTGGACCGCGGCTGGCTGCACACCACAGCCCAGAGTCAGAACACACTGGAATCATACCACACCGCACAGGACAGTCAACCGAGAGAAACTGGCAGACCTCAGAGCCACGAGAGGGCGAAAGCAGCCACTCATATTCAGAGACTCACCCCTGCTCACGAACGGCAATTCAACACCTTCGCTGTCAGAGTGGGGTCCTCCACACTCAGCAACACAGGATTCAACACCTTCGCTAACTGGTCAGGACGCTCAGGTGGGCTGAGGGGATTAAACTGCTCACCAGCAGTCTGCATTCCTGAGGGTGACGGGAAGTGATTCATGATCGCGAACGGACGCTTCACATTCAGAGGTGCGGCCTGCCACTCAGCTGCTCAGCAGACAGCAAGAGAAAGAAAGTAGAGACCCCTCTCCTGCAGCCCCTCTGCGTATGCGTGCAGATCGGCACTCCTCTGCCGCTGCTTCCTTCCTGCAGCGAGCACACATCTCTTTCTCAAGGGCTGTACAATCCCGCGGGGGCGACCTCACTAGAGGTCACGAGAGGTCACGACCCACGATGAGGTTTGTCCTTAGGGGAAGCGCACGTGTGTTTCTTCAGCCTCCACAACGACAGGCCCGCGTTTCCGTTCATAAAATCGCTTACACACCACCCGACACGGCATATTGTTCTTCAAACATTTGTAATCGCATTAAAAAGGCTTTGAAAAGAACCTTTTAAAGGTGCTATATCTAATAAAGTCATACAGTATCAGAGAGTATATGAGGATATGAGGGTTCTGGCAGTCCGGCTGGGCCCTGAGCTTCTTCAGAGACACTCTGTTGCTCAGGTCCAGTGTCCAGTAGGACAGGAGCTGGTGTCCTTGTGCTCTCACGTGTCCTTCAGGGCTGCCGGTCACTGAGGAGCTCCGATTCCTCACACAGCTCGAGCCCCGGCGACTCATTCGCACTTGGCCCTTGGATTCAGGAATCCAGGAATCCGATGAAGTCCGGGGTGAAATCTACCAGACGGGACTGGAGCTGACCCCGGTTTCCAGCTCTGGACGCCCGCAGAGAGAGCTCTGCAGCTCTTCCAACTTGTCAGCACATCTAGACCGGGGAAGACCCGTTTACCTCAGCCAATGTATTTGATCTTGAGGCGGATATCTGACTGCATCGTTTCAGGTCTGTTATGTGCCGATATCGGTGTGCAGACCACACAAAGTGAGACAGCCCTACGTTATAGTGCCACTTCACCCGAGCACTCCGATTCCTAAATAACAGCTGCCCATCCTCACTAAGACTATAAACAACATTTAAGAATGTAGCCCTTACTTCTGAGTAACTGGGACTGTTGACATGCAGTCTTTGGTGAAGCTTCTTTCCTTCCTGCAGCTGCTGTGGGACAGAGCGCTGTCCCACCACAGGACACATCAGAGACATCCCCCCCTGCAACACGTCCACACACTGACACTCCAGACCAGACCAATGTCACCAGTAAAGCACACACACTCCGAACAGCTCTAGCCCTGATCGCCACCGGCTTCTCCGAGCATAGGAGTTGTTGGCAACAAGTCATTCCTGTTTCGTGACACATTCCAGTGCTTTGGAAGACCACTACACAGAAAACACCTGTGTAGCCGTCTTAAAACGTGCGACATGTTGGCATCTCCCAACCGCATATACCTCTGTCGCGATATTATCATCCTTATAATAGTTGTTGCATTTATAAAATTGTCTAAACTTTTACCCTAGACCGTGCGAGACCACCGCGACCGCTTCTCCTCGGGTGTATTAAACCCGCGGCAGATCGACAACTTCTTCGAGAGGGTGTTTGCGGGAGACTGCGTTTTGCTCGGAACCGAACCGGGCGAGAGACGACGGTAAAGTAAACCTCAGACCCAGCGAGCCTGGCGGCCGGGCAGCCTGGCGCCGAGCCGACGGACACACACGTGTGAGTCAGCCTGCCCCCGCTCGGACCGGAGGCCCGTCCCGCCCCCAGCGGACCCCCGCTCGGACCCCCGCTCCACTCACCCTGAGCTCCTTCTCGGTGCGGTGCACGCCCAGCCTCGGGAGCCCGATGGTGAGGTCGTTCACGCAGATGCCGCCGTCCTGGTTCACGTCCAGGATCTGGAACAGGACCTTCAGGCGGTGCTCGCGCTCGTGCTCGTGCTCCGGGTCCCAGCCGCCGGGGTTCGGGTTCGGGCTCGGTTCCGGCTCGGGCCCGGCCGGCGGCTCCGGGGGCCGGGGCGGGCGGGGGGTGCCCGCCCCGCCGCCGGGGTCCGAGCCGGGTCCCGAACCGGGTCCGGGATCCACCGGGTCGCACTGGCAGAAGACGCCGCCGAGCACCGGCCTGTGCTGCTCCATCGCTCTGGGGTCTCTACAGACAGATGTTTCTTCTTTTTCCCTCCTTTCTTTCCCGTCCTGTTGGCTTCGCTACCGTTTCTGGCTCAACGCCGGACGCGTGAGGACTTGTGTTTTAAAATAAATAAAAAATAAATAAATGAATGAACCTTAAAAAAAGGAGGAGGAGGAGGGAGAGAAAGGGAATAATTGCTGCACAGTTTCGGAAATCCCAGTCTGAATCTCCCCTCTGCCCCAGCGGGCGGAGTGTGGGCTCCGGGACAGCGGTCTCTGCTCCTCCTCAATTACACACTCGGACTCGGGCCCCGATCTGCTCCGATCGGTCCGTTTCCCTCCCAGGACTGGCAGCTCCGCTCCCGAGGGCCGGGTCTGTGTGCGGGACGGGTCCGGGCGGGCTTGGCTCTGGGTCCTGACAGCTGAGACGGCCGACAGACGCCGGTGAGTGGAGGCCGGATTCAGGAAGTGAGTCACCGGCTGCCGGCGGGGTGGGCGGGGCCCGGCGCGGATCGACGGGCCTCGCAGCCAATCGCCCTCCCCCGTGTCCTCCTCCGGAGGCCACACGCCCCGCCCCTCTCCTTACCAAAGCACGTTTTTGTCACACGGCCGAGACAACTGTGCTTGTATAGACCCTCTTCAAGAGTTTCACTTGTAACTGTGGGGGAAACAAAAAGACTCTAGGTATTGCGTGTACTAGGCATTCCAATCACAATGTTGCAAAATAGCTTATGGGGACGCCGGTTTTTCTCTGTCGCCTGCTGCAAAGAAATGACGCCTTTCTTTTTTTACCTTGTTGCATTTTTTGGGTTTGCGGGTTAGGGTTGTTTCTTGGATTGGCAGGGTTGAGGGGGGTTGGAAAAAAAAGAAGTCAGATGGCGCACATGAATAAGAAAAAATACACATCAGTTAGTGAAAGCGTCTGACGGGATTTCGGACTTAATTTAATTTTAAACAGCATTGCAACCGCGATTTAATCACCGTGGGTTCTCAAGTGTGCTGATAAAATCAGCCCAAGGGTATTAAAAGTGGATGTCAGGAACTACCCCCCACCGCGCTGCTGAATTCAGCTCGCTGGGGTCTTTCAAGACATGGTGCGTTGATGCTCCTGAAAACCTACCCGACAAGATGGAACTGCTTGTGTTCTGCAGGAACCCATCTTGTGCTGTAATACCAGCATGCATCCATCAGTTGTATTACGAGAGTGAATCCTGGATGCATATCTACAGGACCAAATGAAGACCTAGTCTAGTCCTCGCTTAATGTGAAAAGACACCCCACACGACAATTTGTGTTTCAAAGGTCATTTACTCTTGTAAGATAAGCCCCTCAACATTGAATTTAAGTAAACAGTGAGGCAAGTCTTTTTAAATCACATTTTACAAGGGTGTTGAAAGTCTAAGAAGCACATTCCTAGCCTCGGGCTGGAGTAAAGATAGTTGCACTAGTAGAGAGGAGGGCGAATAAAATCATTGCACAATACTTTACTCTTAAAAGCAGTGGGGAACCCCCACCCCTCAAACAGCACAGGCTCACCTTCTGTGTTTTCACTGCTGCCCCCAAAACAGAGCTTTTTATAAGGCTGCAGGACATACAACTGCTGTCCTTGGTGTGACAGCACTGACTGCCATATAGTCAGGGATACGGTCAGATAACTAACAAGATCACTTGTAAAGGAACCCCAGAAAAACAGATCAGTTCTCAGTGGCAAGAAATATAGATCTGGTTAGAGGATGGTCAGCCAGATGTCCTTCACCTTCCCCAGCTAGGGCAACCCACAGGTCCCAGTCCCGAACTCAGTTCAGTGTACTTCTCATCCGCTCAAGTGCAATGAAATGCTTATTTGCATGTCTGCTCTGATACATAGACATCAAGTAAGCACCAAACTTAAAACACAGAACAGCAGCAGCAACTGCAAGTTAAATAACATCAGCTTAAAAAAAGTCAGACAAGCAGCGTGATAATAACACATCCGTGTGAGCCAGGGGAAGGGGTGGAGTTCGGTAATCTGACAGCTTGTGGGAAGAAACTCTCTCTGAATCTAGAGGTTTGTGCCTTTATGTTCCTACAACGCTGACCAGAGGGAAGGGGGAGAAAAGTGAGAAACCAGGATGACTGGTGTGCTTAACGATACTTCCAGCCTTCCTGAGACAGCGAGTTGTAAAAATGTTCCAATGATGGACAGGGCTGACCTGCTCACCCCCGTGACACCTTCCGGTCAGACAGTGAAAACCAGTGGAACACGCACTTCAGACCGACACACTGTACTCCTCAACACAGTCCAGAGCCACAAGCTGTTCAAGATCTACTCACCGCTTATAGAGGATCAACATTTTCAGATGGTTTTGTGAGCATATTAGGAATCAGAAACTCTCATAGATTTAAGATTTTATGTTTCTGTGTACTTTTGTCATGCTCTGAAATTTGGTTTAGTATGATTTGCAAACATGAAAATCTGCATCTATTGGCAGAAATTCTACAAAATCGCAGGGAGCAGTGCAGATTATCACCGGCTCTGCGCTGTAGCCCTGCCTCCTTCTCCAGGCGAGTAGCAGAAGTAGGTGTTTTGTGTAAGAAATACTACTTATATGATGTAACCTGCAGTGCTGTTTTTTTTGTGCAAATCATCCCAAATTAGGAAATGTGTCCAGCAGATTTTTCTTGGCTTTTCCATTCATCTGTAACCTCTCTCACAGAGCACAAAGAGGCACATGAGCATTTCGAGATGTCGAATTTAATAACCAAAAATAAACCAACCCCCGTGCCCGGTCTCTTTAAAAATAAAAACATTTATGACAGTGGAGTTTCTGCTGGTTTTAAAACGTTTTAGCATTCACCATTCGTGCAAAGTGAACAGTTCAGATTATCTTGGGGAGTTTTTTCTCCAGCAAAGGCGATGGCTGTTTACAAACAAACTATCAGAGTTTAGAGGCATCTGTGCAATAACTTCCTCACTGGGTGGAGGCTGTAGCTGTAAACAGTAGAAAGATGAAAGCAGCCGGAGGTTTGTTAGATGATAAAAATCTCTTCTTGCAAAACAAGTTGGTACAGAGATACAGTGTAAGTGGATATTAGAAGGTAAGACCATATTTGATAACCTGAGAATAAATTACAAAGTTAAAGGACATATTTTCCTAGGCGTAAACATTTAACACTATTTTTCAATATTTGTATTTGAAGTAGCGTACAACGTGAAACCCATTTATAAAAGCAAACAGAGGCTACACGCTCAGTTACCCATTACAACCAGGGCTGTGCAGAATTAAAACCGCCAAGAGCAACTACAACCTTTAGCAAAATGAAAAGCTGTCTTTAAAGCGGATCACTCCCGTTAGCTTAAATATCCGCAAAGATGCGTATAATTTAGTAGCATCCACGGAGATGGGGGCGGGGGGGACAACTCACGAAGTCTTTTTTTTTATTTTTTACAAGGTTATTTTACAGACCGAAAAAAATCCCACACAGGTTTCGAAAGCCGCCGCGATTAGATGCGGTACAGAGATTGTTATATAAAAAAAAACTTTGCGTACAAAAAATAAACAGCAGTCGGCTTAAAATGCCTTTCCGACCGCTTCTCCACACAGCGCCCAGACTGCACACTCCCTGCTCCCCGAGTGCTCGTCTGCTCAACGGGGCCTCAATGGCGCCTACGCTTCCTGTGATTGACAGGCTGGCGTGCGAATCGCTGAAGGGAACCGAGGGGGAGCCCCCCGGGCCCCAACCAATGAAACCGCGGCGTGCGGAGATGGGCGGGGCCCGAGCCATTACGGACGTAAACGTTGCCTGCAAGAGGAAGAAGTCGATTCTGGAAGCCATTACGCTGCGCAGATCTATAGAGTAAATCCCACGGTTTCTACGCACATTACGTACATTATTCTTAAAAAAAGAAGAATTTCTAATAAAATGGCATCTCAGGCCAAGAAGAGGAAAATGAATTTCTCGGAGCGGGAGGTGGAGATTATAGTGGAGGAGATGGAGAAACAGAAGCACGTCCTGGTTAACCACTTCAATGCCGGTGTCACACACATCACCAAGAACAACGCGTGGGTCGAGATCCTGAAGCGGGTGAACGCCGTGACGACCTGCCTGCGGGAGCTGGCCGAGGTCAAGAAGAAGTGGTCGGACCTGAAGACCGAGGTCCGGCGGAAGGTGGCCCAGGCGCGGGCGGCGATGGAGGGGTCCGGCGACTGCACCTCGGTGCCGGTGATCCTCACCTCCATGCAGCAGCGCATCTGCAACCTGCTGGGGGAGGCGACCATCATCAGCCTACCTGCGGGGGACGGGGGCACGGAGATCACGGTGCCCGTGCCCATGAGCTCGGCCACCACAGTGACTCTGACCCAGAGTAAGTGCGCCGTGAACACCGGCTCCGTCAGTGCACGGGGAGAGAGAGCCATCCCTCTCATACCCGGTCACTCAGAGAATATACAGAGCTGTGCATTGCCGGAGATGGCTAACAACGCGAACAGAAACAGCTATAGAAGTGGCTTTTGAAAATACTTTTTTTAAAAAAAGAAAACAATACACGCAATAAGAAGCGCACGGTTGCAACGCTGTTCTGCACTGGCGTTAGCACGTCTCGAAAGTCGAGCTCGTTCACGTTTTCCCAGCCTAGAGGAGACGTCCTTTTCATTGCACTGCAACATCAGCCTCAAACGTCTAGGCGCCGGACTCGGCTTTTGCAGAGTAAATAAAGCAGCCGAGTTAACTGCCTGGGAGACAAACAGTCTCACGCCTCCTCGTGATTTCTTTCATGTGTCAGTAGGTGGGGCCTTTTGCGATTGGATGCCGTCTTCAAAATCGCACCTGTGTCACAGTCTGAGACTCATATGAGTCGCGCTATTAATAGATGCGCGGTTCAGATTACACGTGTACAGTTATCGGGCTGCACAGACCAGTGTCTGGGCGGCGGTGACGCTAAGGAGGCTGAGCTTCGGGATAAACGCACCGCAGACGAACACTTCTCTGTTCTGGGTAGAACTGTAGTCGGGTTTATGTGTTGTGGCCTCTAATTCAAGGATGTTTGCTCCCTAATGATGGTAGTTTTGTGAGGTGTTCAGGAAATCCATGTGTCACAAGGAGTTAAGCTGACTCCCCTCATGAGTCAAAATAAAAAGCGAAGAAGTGCTTCCTGTTCCCGGTTTCAGATGCACTTTTCTTCATGTTCCACCTGCTGGCTTCCTCTGGCTCCTGCTTTCAGAGCTGATGTACTGGGCGAGCCGGTGACTGCGCAGCAGAGGTGCAGGGTGCCCAGTGTGCTCTGCTGCACCAGTACGTTGCTGCAGGGAGCAGGCCAGGCCCTGCAGGGTCTCTCAGCGAGGCTGGGACTCACCGTCTTTATTTTTAACTTGCAGACATTCAGACGGCTTCCTCTTCGGCAGCTTGTGAAGTACAGAAAGCGCTAGAAGGTAAAACATTTTTCTTAAGAGTTGTTTTTACACCTGAGCCATTCCCGAGAAGCCAGGCGGCCCCTCTGTTAGGTGAGCATGAGGCCAGCGGACGCAGACGAGGACAGCCCAAGGATTTGATTGTTGCCATGCTCAAAATGGAAAAAAAAATAGTGTTAATGTGGTCCTTTTGTGTAAAATGAGTACATTCAAATTAAATGTCTTTGTTATTTAAGTATTCTTGTTTCCTGACCTACTGGCATTGGATAATACTAAACCTGGAGCTCCTGGATGGAGTTGAAGTCTTTGCGCGGAGAGTCCAGCGCAGATCCTGTGCGTTAGTCCAGAATAATGTGTTCAGAAGGAATACATTCCACTGCAGGACCGTGTTGAGCCCTGGGCGGCACACAGGTGTAGTGGTGAGCATCCCTGTGCTGCTGCCCCGAGGTCCGGGGTTCAGTTCCTGGGGTGCCGTCGGTGTGGAGTTTGTATGTTCTCCCCACATGGTCCCCAAATTGACCCGTGTGTGTGTGTGTGTGTGTGTGTGTGTGTGTGTGTGTGTGTGTGTTGTAGCCCTGAGGTCCTGGGTTCAGTTCCTGGGGTGCTGTGTGTGTGTGTGTGTGTGTTGTAGCCCTGAGGTCCTGGGTTCAGTTCCTGGGGTGCTGTGTGTGTGTGTGTGTGTGTGTGTTGTAGCCCTGAGGTCCTGGGTTCAGTTCCTGGGGTGCTGTGAGTGTGTGAGTGTGTGTGCCCTGCGATGGCCAGACTCCAGAGCCTTCTCAATGTTTGTCTGTTGCTTCTTCACGCCGGCAGCCGAGACCACCTACCACGCGCTGGAGGAAGGGGTGGTGGAGTACTGCACGACCGAAGCCCCCGCCGCCGTGGCGACGGAGACCCCGGTGGAGATGATCTCGGCCCAGGCCGAGTGCGCCATCAAGCCCCAGGAGCTGAAGAGCCGCATCGCCCTCAACTCGGCCAAGCTGCTGCAGGAGCAGAAGGTGACCAACCTGCACGTGCGGGAGATCGCGCAGCACCTGGAGACCCAGAACGACCTGCTGCAGATGATCCGCCGCTCGCAGGAGGCGCAGGCCTGCGCCCAGGAGCGCCAGGCCCAGGCGCTGGAGGGCACGCAGGCCGCGCTCATCGCCCTCATTCAGATGCTGCGCCCGGCGCTGAAGGACTTCCGCAAGTTCCTGCAGAGCTCCGGCGGCAGCCCGGCCCCGGGGCCCGGCACAGACGCCGGCGAGCCCAAACCAAGGCCCCCGGCGCCGGAGGAGGACGCGCAGTAGGACGCCATCGCGGGCCTGGGCGGGCCAGGCGGGGCCAGACTCTCGTTCGTTCGCGCACAAAGAGAAGAATTGCCGGTTGCGGCGCCGAGGCGGTGCTCTGTAGTGCATTTATTGAAAAGTTAATAGGGATTCCGGACTTTTTTTTGTTCCTCCAGCGAGCACCAAGATGCATCACGCTGTATGAGCGGTGCGCTGGTTGCGCAGCCCCCTGGCTGGAGGGCATCTGGAAGTCGACCTTCGCGCCTCTGTGCAAGCCCCTGCCTGGCCGAGGACGAGGGGAACACCAGGCTTGGCGCACGCGGTTGGACCTAACTGCCCTGTGGGAGCCACCCTCATCCTGGTGTGGACTTTCGTTTCGGTGGGGGTGGGGAGGGTATTAAGTGTAACTGTCAGCTGTACGTGAGTGAGAGTTGCAATTTCACAAGTTTTGTTTTTTTCAAATGCAGTTCAGCAATGGTGAACGGTCAGTATTCACTCGCTCCTGAGACCTGTGCGGACCTCAAATAACCCCAGCCCCATGACGGGCATCTTTCTCTCGGAAAGCCGGTACAAAGGAAGAGGTGTAGATCATGACAGACCTCTCTTACACTACCCCAGACCCCTGTGGGCGTGCTGGGAACGGGGGCCGAATACAGACAGGCGACCGTGTCTGACCGTGTCCGGGGTGATTTGTTGTGCAGGAGCTCCCCCTGGCGGTGTCTGGCCAGATGGCAGTTCTTCAGGAGCGCTGTGCGGAAAGAGGCCCGTGGCATCCCGCACTGTGTAGTGTGTGTCCGGGTCCGTCACGCCGGCGCGGGGGGGGGTCGTTGTCAGGGTTTTATTAAATCTAGGACAACACTCAGCTCATCTTGGCTTGAACTGTTATTTCAGCACTTGCCTAGTTCTTTTTATTACTGCCTTCCCCCCTTTGTATTTTTATTTTTTATCCCTGCGGAAGTGAGAAGAGGGAGGAATGCATTCAGTCGGGCGTCTTATCGACTCTTGTTTCGTTTTCCCTTTTTTTTTTCCTTCTCCAATAAAAAAATGATGCCTCCTGTTACACTGTCCTTTTTTTTTTTTTTTTTTTACATGAACTCACGATTTTGATCTGTCTCTGGGGTTCTGCAATGTTGAAGGTAACTCTGCCCACGGACCGTGGAATTCTACAGTTTTATTGCAGCATCTCTGCTCCCTGGGTTAAAACGCCAGCCTTCTACATGACTGCCATGATATGAGATAGACTTTGTTGAGCCAGCTTATGGATGCCCTTGTAATAATATGATTTTAGTCCCTGCAGTTTCTGCACTTTGACACTGTGAGACCTGGACCTCCTTCTCAGCACTGGGAGAGCTTTCTTTCTGCTGAGAACACACACACACACACACACACGGAGCCTGGCTTTACACGGTCGTCCTGCCCACCTCAAACTCTGGATTTCAAGGCATGACGGTTCAAGATGAAGAAATTATAGATATGTGATCCTTTTCTATATTAGACTTGTATAAGACTCTTCCTGAGGTCTTTTGCATTTGATTAGTCAAAACAATCCTTTCATTAAAAGGATAGTTACATACAAATTACCTCAGAGCCTGGGTAGATGTATTCCAGTCGCGCAGCGAAATAAAAAATCAGACCACCTCTGTAGCTGAGGACGGGGCTGGAACAGAACCAGACGACAACAGGCCTCCCAGGAGCTCAGTTTGAGAGCCCTGTCCATGGAGTTACTGAAAACATTGTTGGCTGTGACTGCTCAGCTGTGTGATTTGTACAGTCTGTTTGTACGTGCCAAGATTACAAGTGTGCTTCAGCAATTTGAACGCGAGTGCTAATGGGGATATTCTTTCATTGTGTGCTGGATCTGCGTGATTAGCTACACACCTACGTTTGAAAAGCCCCAGTCTGAGTGCCTGGTAAATTAGACAAACGATTAAGAGGATATCACTTTCCACCCAAATATAAGTCTTATTATCATAACACGGTATTATTTGGCAGCTGTACGACTTTGAATCCGAGTAAGACAATGGAAAGTACTGTTTAGTGAGTATGGCACCCATCCACCTCTGAGCATCAGCCCGCTTCGTGATACGAACGGATATGACTTAATTCAGACAGCAGGTGGCGCTCTATACAAAGTTTCTCCCCCTCTCTTTCACGTGGCTCCCCAACGTTATGTTTAAACCTTTATTTTTAGCGTTTCACAAGGTTTCCGGATCGAGAGCTGCAGACGTGCTCCTGGCCTGTCGATGTTATTTTACTGGGCCGCGAGTCTGGGCGCCCCGGGTCGGTCTGAATCCCCTGACAGGCTCCTCACAGATGCAGTCTTCCCAGGACAATGATAACATGACATCACAGTATTCGTTATCATCTTTGACTTGAATTCATCCACCCTCACTGATTTTAATTTTGTGAATGTATTGCCACGCGGGGGGGGGGCATTATAATGTTAAATATTTATATGCATATACTATATTATATAATAATGCATATACTATATTATATAATAATGCATATAATATATATGCATATTATATAATAAGAAGGCTATTGAGCCTGGTTCACGTGTGTGAGAGAGAAAAATTCACTATGTCCTACATAGGAAAAGCCTATATAATTCAAGATGCTTTATTGGCATGACCCATGAATAAGTCAGTGTTGACAAACTCTGACAAACGATATCTCTCTCACACACCCGAAGAAGGCTCCACAGCAGAAACGTCGTTTCTTTTCTTCTCTTTTCACCATGGAATAAACCTTGACTTGTTCCTTTGCAGCCAACGCATGCTGATGCAGCTCCCTACTTAAAAACAATCATTACTATTATTTTGTATTATTAACAAATATCACCAAAAGCTGTCACAGCAATGCTCCAAAAGTGCCGGCAGTAACTTCTTAGTTCCTCTGTAGTAGAGGTTTGTGGTTGTGAATCTCACCCGTCCCCCAGTCCTCCCTCAGGCCAGTCAAACTGCGCAGTTTCCATGAGAACTGCTCGCGTTGTCTCTCGCCGGTGGTATTCTGCGTTTGCCACTACGCCCGTCGTGGGGAAGAAGCCGTGCTGCGTGGGTTGCGTGGGTTCCGTAAGAAACGCGAGTCCGGCGGGGCTCGGCTGTGCGCAGGGCCGGTGACGTGCGGGGCTGGGAGGCGGCGCCTGGCTGCCTGCACACGGGGAGAGGAGGAGGGCTTATGCCGGCCGGGGGCTTGTGACTGCGGGCCAGTGAGTGGTGGAGCCACGAAGAGAAGCGGTCGCGTTCCTGTGCCACGGGCGCTAATATTTGGGTGCCTGTTTGTGATCATTATTTTTTTAAAATAATTGGAGGTATCAAGCCCGGCATTAGGTTTCCGGAGGCTGGCTCCCGTGCTCGCCAGCGGGCGGCAGTGTGCAGGACTGCAGTCTGGATGAGACCGAGCGAGTCGCGTTCATTGTGATTCAGCGCAGGAGCGCAGACCGCGGCGCACCGCTTGGAGGAGGAGATCATCTCCCCTGGCGGGCGAGCAGGCAGGCGAGAAGCTACCAGGAGGACTCATCTAGAAATCCGCACAGGAAAATTAAAAAAAGAGGAGCCCCGGGCACCGAGACCGGTTTTGAGCGCCGACAAGAGGCGCAGTAACCATAATTATTTGCCGGGACCGCTCTGCGCTTCGCTGCGCACAAGTGTTTGTGGAGACTCTTGCACGGCGGAGCATCTCCCCACAGGGTCCTCTGCTAACAGAGCCTTTCGAGGGCACGTCAAGCGCCCACCGAGCACCGTCCGGAGCCCGGAGGACCCGTCTTGCGGGGTGTTTTTCGAGTTACAGGCGATAGTTCAGCGAGCAGTGCGCTGAGGCGTGCTGTCCGGATTAAATACAAGCGCGCAGGTACACTCGCATAATCGTTTCGTTTTTGTTTCCTTTGAATTTTGCGTGCACTTCACATGGGTGTCTTTGTTTATGTCCATTTTTAGTGATTTTTCTTGTATGCTTGCAGGTTTGCCGGAACTCGCTGCGGGCGATTCAGAGATGCTGATCCGAGACGGACTCCCTAAGAGAAATTTCCAAGCTCCAGATTAAAATCGCCGCTAACCTCCATGCTCCAGAAACTTTTTATTTTCGTTTAACCTTTTTTTTTTCTTTTCCCATTTGGATTTTATTTTTAACTTCATCGTTTCGTTACTGATTTGTTTTTTTTTTCTTTTAAACGAACTATTTATACGTCTCGCTGCGGTCTCACTGAATCGGGTTTGAAGACCAGTAGTCACAGACCTGTCTTCGTCAATGGCGTTTTTAATGAAGAAGAAGAAATTCAAATTTCAGACTAATTTTACTCTGGAGGAGCTCACGGCTGTGCCGTTTGTCAATGGAATGCTCTTCTGCAAGATCCGGCTCTTGGACGGAGGGGACTTCGCTACTTCATCGTCCAGGTATAATTATTATTATTGTTATTGATGATGATGATGATGACCAGCTGCTTGAATACGAACATCTGCGAGTGCAGCTTTAATATTTCAGTCTGTCTATAAATCCAGTTTATTGCAAATGATAAGTGTGACAAAAGTGCCCCCCTCCCCTGTCTTGTTTAGACAGTTCGTGTACACGGGGTCGGTGATTGAACTGGATTGAATTGACTGCCCTGAATTGTTTCTCGGGACCGATTGTGTCAGGTGATGACTGATGATGACAAGTCAGTTTAAGGCATCTGAGCAACTCAACCACATTTTGCTCGCCAGAAAGCTAAAATGCTTTGACGTGATCGGCCTTTCTTTTTGTTTCTTACAAAGGTGTACGAAATCATCACCAATTCGCAACAGCGCCTTCGGATATAAAATTAGAGAAAACTTAACTTATTTTTCCGACACTGAAAGCGACAGGGGAACCTGTTTGTCTGCCGTCTGCCTTAGCGTTCGCAGTAGCAAGAAGAAACTCTTCAGTGACACTGTTCTACTGTTGGCTGAGGAAAAACCTAAAAGTGTCGTGAGCGTTAAATATATACTTAAATATATTTCTGTTCTGTGTAGAAAGGATGCGTAGTCTACAGACGCAGTGGTGTTCAGCCTGAAACGCCATAGCTGTTACGATCATGCTGTAGTTTAGCTGAGGAGACTTTTTTTACTCCTCTCCTGCCCTAGAGGAAATTACTCGTGTGCTATTACTGTGTTTTGTCCTTGGAAGTTTGTAACGGTTTTCTTCCGTGCGATTCCTTATCCTTATCATTTCACCCAATTCAGCACGAACACCTCACTGTTTATGAAGCGTAAACACCTCTGTGAAATGCGGGTGTAGTCTGAGCTCCGTGGCTCTGGGGAGGCGCAGACTCGTGAGCTGTTGTGCTCTTGCTGTGTTGCTTCCCTGGAAGTCGCCCCGTGGCTTGGAATCGTGACCTCTGCAGCTCGCGTTACATCCATACCGCAGAGCTGCAGACCCCATCGGAACCAGGTCCACAGGCACGGCACGCTGAGGTCCGAGAGAGACTCTCGTTGGCGAAAATTTGGACGGGATGCGTGTGTATCGGTCCCCTTTGAAACCTACTGCGCTACAAACGTGTCAAAGTAGGGACTTCCACTTTTGTTTTTCAGCAGCGGCACCTAGCCGCTCGGCTACCATTTCTGCCATTTCCCCCGCGGGGTTAATAAAGTGTCTATCCATCAGATCCATCTTTGGCTTGCCCTTGTTGAAAGGCTTGGTCTCGGCATTTTAACACGCGGGTTTTATTCCATCGACGGGACAGCAGCTGAGAATGGGAGTTTTACCCCGTTGGGCAGAATCTGGACCAAAGTCTTTCTCGCTTCGCAGAATGAATTACGATGTTTCAGTCGTCTCTGAAAAATACCGCGGTCAAGAGTCCGTCCCGGTCCTGGAGGGACGCTGTCGTAGCTGTTTTTTGCTCCAGTGCTAATTGACGACCTCATTCATTAGCTGGCTTGCTAACACTTCAAGGGAACACGTGGTGGTTAATTCCACGCTGAAAGGTAGATGGAGGAGACCCTGTTCAAGAGCTGTCACACTCAACAGCCAAAAGATTTTCTTCCTTTTGCTTTTCAGTGTGGATTTAACCGTTACATCTTTTCTTTCCAGGGGTGTTAGTGTTGCTGCCTGGCAGCGCTGGGGCCCTGGGTTCAGTTCTGGACCTGGGGTGCTGTCTGTGTGGAGTTTGTGTGTTCTGCCTGTGTTTGAGTGGGTTCACAGTCGGAAGTCGTGCTGGTGGGTTAATTGGCTTCTGGGAAGAGTGCCCCTGGTGTGAGTGAGGGTGTCTGTGTGCCCTGTGATGGACCGGGGTCCTGCCCAAGGTGTGTCCTGCCTTGCTCCAGCAGCCCTTAATTGGATAAAACGATGAGAAAATGGATGAATGTTTCCACCTAACCTAGAATCGCCAGGCGTTTTCAGGTCTCGGCTCACAGACAAAGTGGGGTAGTGGATTTCAGCGAATGCTCACTGATCAAGCTCTCCACTGTACTAAACTCATTTCTTTGGTCGGTCTTGGGCATCACTAAGCCCTGCTTCAGTCACGATTTCCAATACCGTCAGACCTGTGCTGAACTCTTCTTGGCCTGCCTGCTCTTAGTTCTGACTCAGCAGCTTTTACTAGTTGATCAATTGATGATGAACAGACATGGGGCAGTTTTGAAACTTGAAATTGGAACCAGGTTTAAACCAATTACAAAACCCCATTTCACCATTTAAGAGTTACAAGCACATTTACAAATCTGCCCCCAATACAAAACTGATATCAGTTAGCCGGTGATTAAGAACTCAGCTGGAGAAAAAAACAGAAGAGAGAGTTCCTTCAGGAAGGGGGCTGAGCACCACTGTTAGATCATCCAAATAAAGGAGAAGGAGCCCCACTGTTTGGGCTAAAGTTCAGAAACTTTCAGAAACAAAGAAATTTTGTGCAACAGTCTCTCGCCAGCTGGGTAAACAGCGAGTGTGTCGACTGTAATGTGTTCTTGTTTTTCCATTACTTGTACTCGAGCTGTGTCGCATGCCAGATGGTTACTGCCTTGAATTTCACTCAGGCCTGATAAATAAGAAGCTGCTCAAAGGAAGAAAATAGGATGATGTTTAAAAACTGTTTTACCCCCAGAAATGTCCGCAAACCACCTCTTTCACAGTATGATAAAAGGTATGTTAGAATTGGTCCTGAACCCGGAATTGCAATAACGTGATTGCAGGTTGTGTGAAGCTCTAGTGACTCCAATGAGTGGTTTTTCGTCTTTAATTAGAAAAGATGCAAGTGGCGCTAGTGATATTTTCAAGTTTCGTTCAGTTTCCTTTTTATCTTGCAGTCTAGACTTGGCCCAAGAACAGGATATTTCAAATACCACAACTCCAGTCTCAAACTAACATACCTAAATTGCTGGGTGTGCAAAGTTCATTTAGCTTCGATCAGTTATTCATCTTAGTTTTTTTTTTAAAAAAAGGAGGAAAAGGGGTTAAGTGATGTGCTTGGTTCTTTATCATGAGAAGGAAAGGAGTTCAGCTGTATTTCTGCTCGAGATCAGCCTATATTGCAGGGTGGGGAGACGGGTCACCAGCTGGCCAGCGTCTGTATTGGGTAGTAATTGATAACAGACTCAATCGACTGAATTCCAGTGTAACACACTCCAAACTTCTAGATTTAAAAATAAGAAGCACTCCACTGTTTCTCGTCTCCGTTTATAGTTGAAATCGATCGTTTTATTTCATCGAAGGGATCGTTAATTTTCCAGACGTCTTTGCTCTGTGTGTGGGTGGGTTGGGAGGGGTTGGTGATGGCAGTACTGTAGGAACAGAGCTGTTGAAACCCGGAGTCACAGCTACACGTCAAGCACACTTTGCGCACTTGGCCTCAGAAACATGTCCTTGTTCCCTTATTCACTCGGGTACCCCCACACCCCCTTTTTAAAATGACAGGATTCTGGAAATGTGCAACCCAGGCGCGCAGATGAGACAACACTAAGCATAAAACAGAGCAGCTTCAAACACCTGGGCCTAGGTGAGCCTGGTCTCATGCAGATATGTACTGAATGCTGATATTGATAGTGACATGAAAGTATGGTGCTGGGGAAACGCTGGAGTTTTTTTTCTGTACTGGCGTGGTCTGTTCTCATTAAATGTCTTTAATTCTAGCACAGTGGCATCACACGGATGACTACGGCAGACCACTGTTGACTTCAGGCCAGCTAGTCCATATGTTACCTCCACAGTTACTCCCGACTTTGCAATGGGGAGTGGCAGTCAGCTGGCTGCCCCAGCCAGAATCCAGCTGCACAGACAAGAAGCTGCATGAGTAATCTTCCTTATTGCTCCTGGCAGGACGACTCTGTCTTTACAAAGGCATGTGATCGAAGAGTATCATCTCGGCTCAATTAACTAATTTCTACAGGCTGGAACTGTTTTGGAAGGATAGATGGGAACATTCAGCGTGTGAATAACCACCCTCAACAAGCCACTGCATTGCATCAGATTGTGGTGCTTTTAATTTTGTTTTGACATTTCATGATTTTCTGAATATAAAGTATTGATTTCTACACGCGTTAGCTGTGCTGCTTGTGTTCTGATATTAGCTGCATGAGTGAGATAAATGAGTGCTATTGCATGAATTTGGATCACAAGCAGTACTATTACTGTACTGCAGTCTGTGGACTTGCAGTCCACTGTTGCCCTAAGCCCTCTGTGTAATGTGAAATATCCTTGGGCATGTTTCCAGTGCCTGCTGCTTCTTGTCCAGTGGGCATCATCGCTTTGTCCTTCCTGCACAGACGTGTCAATTCATGGGACACTTCTAATCTCCCTCTGTTCATGTGAGAAACAGCCATGTTATCTGTTCAGGGTGAGTTATCCATTCTAAATCACAACTGATGCAATTATCACTCTGGTATTGGAGGTGTGTATGTAATTCCTCTCCTTTCAGTGGAAATGAATTGCAAGATAAGGCTTCTAATACGCAGTAGTTTGAGTAAATCTGGGTTTTGCAAGTGAAAAGGGTTTACAGGAGCTGGCTGCTTTGTAGTTGACATTTCTGGTGCATGTGCAGTCAGGCAATGTTTGATATTAAAATGAGTATGGTTGCTTCCCTGTTGCATTTGGCTTATAGGACCTGGAAACTAACCAGTAGCAACCAGAGAGTTGTGTGCTTTGGTGTGTTTATTCTGTGTCTTACTGGCTCTGCACGTGTTTATCAGAAAGGGATCCAGGCCTGGCCTGAGTTAATGATACAGCAAACATGTTGGATGTGGTCAAGCCGAAAGAGATTTCTGTTCCCCCTGCATGCTAGACAGCTTCATGGAAAAGAGAGAAGAGAAACTGCAGCTCTCAGAAGAAGACTGGGGACAGGCAGTCGACACACCAGGTGTTCCTGGGCTCAGCTCAACTGTCTGCGGCCCAGAGCTTGAGTGATGTCCGCTCGGCGGTGTTTTGCATGCAGCTCTTAGGTTAGTGGGGACTT